ATAATATATAAAAATGCAACATGAAATCCACTGGGAGAAAAAAAAATACAGAAAGTGCCAGCATTTTTGTGGCTGAAAATAATTCCATCATAGCAGACCATGAAAATCAGAATACAGCTACTGTTTACCATAATCCTACACCCATTTTTAAGCATTATACAATGCCCATTTTAAAGAGGAGTAATGTGTGAAAATGTGGGGACAGCAGTGAAGTCTCAGATTTGCCATACATTGTACACAGGAATTTTGTGCCTCTTCAGAAGACTCTAGTGTGAGCAATCAAACTGCCCAGTAGTTACAATTAGCCCTGTCCCGTGGCTAATCTTACGTTTTGAACATGGATTAATGAGAAAATAGTAACCTGATGCACATTTACACACAAAAACTACAGAAGTTTCGCTGTTGAAAAAAAAAAAATCAAATTTTCGTCTCATTTAGCAAATGGCATATGGAATTTTCTGCAAGGTATGTGGTACTAATTGAACATGGTACGAGTCCACCAGACAGTCAATATAGCCATGAGGTATCCAAGGAATGTTTCCCTTCGGTGGACATTATCTGTGTATTGATTTGATGGCCTGAATGGATAAAAGCTTTGGTAACAAACAATGTTTGAGGATTTGGGAACTGCACTTCTTATCTGTATGAATGCTGCAGTTGCTGAGGAAAATTTTGAGACACTTAATAAACGAGCACATTAGGAACTAAATAGGATCAGTTTATTTTCATTTACTCATTAACCACTTACTTTGGTATTTATTGTCAACCTTTTTTTTTTACACTGAGACCACTGTTCTGTGCCAGAGACCACTCTCATGCCAGAGAGCATGAAGCCAAAGTTATCACCCAATTTTTTTAATAGGAACAATAATCTAGGTTCCATACATTTTAATGACATTAACAAACACCTAAAAGAAAGTTGTATGGTACCGATGATTTATTTTGAAAATTCTGATATACACAATGTGTATAAATACACTTTCAGGTATTTGACACCAACTGAACTGATTAAAATATCAGTTATGCTATCTGTGTTAGATACGGGTTAATTATTAACTTTAAATGTTAGTCCATTTCTATATAACTTTAATTCTCTTTTCAATTCAGGTAAAACAAACAGCAGCAGTGAATTCTCACTTATCCTAAGCAAAATTAAAAGTCAAATGGTTGAGTCCCCCGAGCTAAGGTGAAAATGACTTTCTGTTAACCAGAGTATTTCTGTGCAAAAGAACATCAGAGTCTCAACACCACTATATCCAGCACCAGTGGGTTATTTTTATCGAGACACTTGAAGAGTAACAGAGCAGCAGTTTGTGGCTTGAAAGGTAGCACTGACTCCTTTGTAGCTCCAGTAAATTTCAGAGTAGTATAAAAGACAGGACAATTTCAGTAGTGCTCTGAATGGGTCAACTTCCTCAGTCTACCACCACTTGCAAAATCTTCCATCACCACTAACAGAAAGAAATGAAATCTGCTTCCCAGTCCTTCAACAGTTAAATGTGCACTCTGCTTTTGATAATGAGACTGGAGAAGAAGCAATGAGAGTTAAGTAACAAGGGTGTCACTCAGTTTTAGAGCATCCTGAAATAAAGTCACACTGTGACTCTTATACCAAAAATAAGATGAGATTAAAAATAGACCTGTAATATTGGTAGTCTGTTACAAAACAGTTTAACATTCAACACAAAAGCTACTTGGCAAATAAAATATGGCAACTGAAGAACAAATCCTGGAAAATAATGTTATTTTTATACTTTCTGCACTGAAACTTTATGCTGAAAGGTGTAACCAGAATCTTACCTAACCACAAAAAACGTTGCACATACCCTTCTCTTGAAGGCTCTAATTTAACAGGTGGTTTCAAAATACTTTCAAAGCATATGGAAATATCACCCTGTAAACCTAAGAACCTCTGCTCTTGACATGCTGTATCAATGAACTGAAAAGAGCAATAACATTTAAGGTGGCTGAATCCTCATTATGTAAAACAAGCTGCATTTTCCTGGTCTACCCCCTACAGTATTTCTATTTGTGGAACACAATAAGAATTGTGCTCTCTGCCTTACTTCCCTAAGATTTCAAATATCATTTCAGTTTAGAAACACACCTGCCCTGAGAGGTATTTTCAAACTGAAAAATCATGCATGATTAACAGTTTTTCTCACATCAAGGGCTCCTTCTTTCCTCCTGTATATTGCACCAGACATATTGAAAGGCTACGTATCCAAGATATATACAGTATGCTAGATAACACTGAAAACCTAAATTCAGAAGAAGGAAAAAAAAGCCAAACCAAAAAGTAACAAAATCAGCTTTTAGCTTAGGAACAGTATTTTCACACAGCTGTAGAACATTATTTGCAGGTTTGCTCTAATGAAACAAATTAACACAGCTTCCCAACCCTGCCTTCCTGCATTTACATTCCATGTATTATGCACCAAAAAAGCAATATACAAATAGAGATCCTTTCAGCCTGACTAGCCTGTCTGCAAAACCAGCAGAGAATTTTCCATTGATTAAAACAGAGAATGGAAGAAAACAGACCAACCTTCACAATGTACGTCACACCAGGTCCCAGGATCTTCTCATTCGAGTGCAGCCATCCTCGAGAGGGTTTACTGACAAAGCTGCTACTTTGATTCCAATCTTCACCTCCCAGGTGCATTTCCTCTGACCGTGCCTTTTTCCCCATACTCATCTTGCTCACGTCCTGCTGAGAACACGAAGTGGCAGAGACAAGGTTACATGTGTTGTCTGAAGCCCCTGCTGCTGAACTAGAAGCACTCGAGCTTCCCTGCAACTTGGAGACAGCAAGCTCCTTTACTGCAGAGGAGAGGTTTTTGATACCCAAAAGGCTGCCTGTGCTAGAGAGTTTCAAGTGGGACACTTTATGGATGAGGCTACACAGGGTGGTGGGTCCATCTTCGTGGTCCTTGCGGAGAACCTCTGTTGAGACCAGGTACGAAGGTGAAGCTGAAGTCGTAGCAACTGTTGAGACCTTGCTGTTCATGGACAAATTGTGAATAAGATCATCAACTGATGTCACAGAATCATTCCTGAAGCGGTTATACTTGGTACGTTGAAGCATGCCCTTCTATCTGCTCTCCTGCATATGTTCTGGCAAATCTGATGCCAAGGCAGGAGATGCCTGCACTAGCATAGCACACGACTCATAACGACACGGACGGATAACAAGATTTTGGGGTAAAAAAAAATCAAAGAGTATAAGGAAAAACAAGCAGGAAAAAAAAAGTATATTTTTAAGCAATTTCTTTTGGTTCCCTGCTAAGGTTGGGTGAAGTAACAGTTTTCTGTGACTGAGATCCCAGTCCTGCTTAGAGCTGCCAACTCGCTCACAGCAAAAGCATGACTCACACAAATGAGAAGGACCCTTTTCAACAAAAGGCTGTGAACACTGCAAATCACTTCCTGTAGCCAAAAAAAAAAAAAAAAAAAAAAAAAAAAAAAAAAAAAAGAAGAAAAAAAAAAAACCACATCCACCCACTTACAGCACACTAGCTACCAATCAATTCTCAAATTTCCTTTTCCTATCTTCTCAAACAGATATTTCCTTTCAACCTTTAATTCCTATCCCCTCCCACCACCCTTTTAGTACCAAAGGCAATTACCTTCAAAACTGAATTAATAGCCTTTATGAAACATCACACTTTATTCTTCTGTTAAAATTCTTCCACCTCACACATTTGTGAATCTATAAAGAAATCACAATTAGATAGCAAATACTGGGATAATATTTACATACATATATCCCCTCTCTCCTGTACCTGCAACAAAACACAGGCACCTTAAAGGTTTTCAGAACAGATGACAGAACTAAGGAATATGGACATTTTCTCCCACAAAAGCAGTCTAACAGTGCCTTTTTGTCAATGCTGTCCCTCACAGAAACTGTTATATCCCAATTTTGACAAAGAAATGCTTCTCCCCATTACTCCACAAGAACATTCTATTTTAATTCAGGAATTACATAAGTACCTATGTGTGAAGAAAAGCATTTTTCTGATGTCTGACAACAGGCTTAACAGATGTTTTTTCTTTCACCACTGATATTCACTCTGAAGAAAGACAGGAAGAAGATCTTCAATTCACTGGAATGTTTGGTTTAATTCTGAAAAACTCGAAAACCTGAAATAATATTAAAAAGTCCAGAGAGCAGCAAACTGACATCCTGCAGTGAAAAACAAAAAAAAGGTCTTTATTTAGCACGTTAGTCAAAAACACTTGATCTGAGAAGTAGCAAAACATGCAGAAAGCAGGTATTTAATGTTTCCCACTTCTTTTTTTTTTTAAAGACAAAATATGTACAGCATTGTGACACACAATGCCCATCACAAGCCATATGGCTTTTTCCTATAAATCAATCTGCTTTGCAAAACATCTTTCGGATGTAGGAAAATACACTGCATTATAAAGAAATTCAGATCAGAAAAGTTGCATAGTGCAAAGCTATTTCTTAAATACATGACTAACTGCAGCACAACTTAAAGGAAAAAATCCTATGGAATTCCTTCCTCCTCCCATTGCTAAAGGCTGCAGTATACAAAGTGCAAATACAGTGAAACAGCCAGCTCAAATACAGGTATTTAATTAGTATATTCATGACATATTGAATTAAATCAGCACCTCTTATCCCAGCAGTGATGAATAATGGCAATGTCTTAGTCAATGTAAAAGCAGGTTTCTACTGATCTGCAGAACAGCCTTTCATCACCACACTGCAAACCTGCTACAGCATCCTCACAGCATGCATTCCTCTCTTCATTCTCCTAGCACAGCAACAGCAAGTATACACACCACAGCCTATTTTTACGTGTCTCTACAGCCCAGAAAACCCTACTGCTCCCGAACGACTGTCTTCATTAGAAGCGGCTAGCGAGACTGCAAAATGTGAATGAGATTCTGAGCGTGTGAATGAAAGGGCTGGCTAGCATCCCCACATTTCTGTGAATGAAGCGAGGCCTCGCAGCCTCTGCCAGGCAATCCCTTGGGTGCTCACCAGCCCAGCCAATACCAGCCGGCGCTGATGACTCATTCAGCAAAGCCTTGCTAAATAGTGGAAGATCCCATTTCGAGCACAGGCGGCACCCTTTTTTTGCGGCAACGCCAGAAAATGAAGCCGGCGTCTGAGCCGACGGGAGCGGGTCGCAAAAGCCCCCCGTGGGAGACGGGGTGTTCGCCAGAGAGATGCCCGGGGTGTCCACAGGGCTGGCAGGTGAGGAAAACCGCGGAGTCGGGTCTGGGTTTTCTCCCCGACTGTGTTCATTCAGCCAATTCATTTACATCCAGGACAGGAACATGAATGTGCACATTTCGTTTGATGTTTGATTGCTCCCTGCGTGCGCCCGCAGATTCACTGGTTCTGCAGGTTCGCCTTCACAGACCTCCGGCGAGAAATAGCCCCAAACAAACAAACGAAAACAACAACAAAAAAAACCTCACACAAACAAAACCCCAAAACGAACAAACAAACAAACAAAACATAAAAAACCCAGCCACGAAACAAAGCCAAAACCCTGCCTGAAAAAAAAGAATTGCATGGACTTATTTACCCCTTTTTTACCCTGTTAGCACAGTAAATATTTAACGATGGTATGACCATCGGTCCACTGAAGGGGGGGAGGAGGGCAGAGGGAAAGCTAGAAGACAAAAGCTTCCCAGAGCACCAGCAAGAGGTCTGTTTTCTGGCACTGTTTCGCTGGACACAAAAATGCTCCCAAGACATCCGTTGGATGTAGAGCTCCTCTGGAAACCTGATATTAGGCACTGCAGAGGACTAGAAGCCACTGCATTACTCAGTGCTTGAAATCCAGTGCTTATTTCAGTGTCTGGCTGGGGAACTGTCTCCTTTACAAATCCAGCCCTAAACGGGGAGAACTGAACATTTTAAAACCTTGCCTTTTACAGTTTCTGGGATTAGAAACAGTGCATAATTTTGCCCTACATAGGCAGCAGGTTCAAATCCAATTCTGGGATAATAAATGAAATAAGAAGACTGTGTAATAGGCATAAACTCCAATTAAAATTAGGATCTAGCTCATTCTAGCTATTGCCAAAGAATTTATAATGTCTTTGGCATTTCCAACACCATGCCTGTAGCTTGCACACTGACTATACCACACCTGCCTTCAACAAGCTGGTTGCTGCCCATATCATAGACAGCAAGACATTCAAACCACCATTTCTTCCTTATCTCTATTTGAAACCTATGTTAAGGCAGCTCATAAAGTGGATCCAAGTTGAAAATGAGCCTTTTTCTTTCCTTTTTTGCAGGGCTATGAACCACCATGATTAACAAACAGCCGTGGAACTATGACTTCATTGCTGACCCAGTAATAAAATGGCAGGTGGAAATTCGATGTTAATAAATGCAAAGTAATATATAATCCTAGAAATACATACACAGTGGGGGTGGTGCACTGCCTCTGACAAAGTACAGCATTTCTTATGAACTAGTGGTGATTTTGGCATCTCAGACTTCTTTTTCAACTTCTGTTGGTTTTCTTTTTCATTTCTGTTTTCTCATGGACACTCCTGGTGTAGTCCTTGTTTCATGTCACTGTTCCTCCTTTTTTTCCTCCAAGCAGCACTCATGGTCATATCCATAGCCAACATCTTTTTCCTACTGTACCTTCACTACCTTTGCAAACTGTATTTCAGAAGAAAGTAATTTGTATTAACAGCAAAGGGTAGGAAAAAAAAACAGATGCTGGGGACAAAATCAGAGGGAGAAACTACATTTTTTTGAGGCTTAAAAGGTTTTAAATTGCTGCAGTTGCAAACATAGGAGACATTGTCAATACACAAGCTAAACCAGGTAAGATGGTGTGATCACCAAAAAGAGGAAACACACGGAGTACAACCACTGTGTTCCTCTCACTGTAGTAAGAAATTCTCCTGAATGCAAAAAAGGTGACTTTCAGTGATCCATATTTAGAGAAATATTAATCACATAATCAGATTTGGCAAATATACCTCGTTCCAGTAACACACTATGGTCAAACATGTACTCTCTATCCGAATAAGAACTGTTGAAGTTCTGCTGAAAGACTATTTGCATTTCCAGGGTGTCTGCCCAGTGGCAGTAAAACTGCTCATGGACTAAACTGGATTTAAGAAATTCATGGAAGACAGTGTCTTTGGCGGGGGGGGGGGTGGAATCCAAAATGAATTTGGGTAGCTAAGTTAAAAGAAACAGTGAATCTGTCCAGAAACACAAACACAGATGTTGCTAAGAGTTTTAATACTATACAAAAAGCAGCCATAAGGCCATCATAGTTGACATCCCTCTTTACAACAAGCCCTAAACAATTACTGTTACTATGATGTAACATTAAGCCATCAGCAAACAGGATGCTATTCCTCACATTGTAGTATGATGGACACAAGTTTTTATGCTTGGGCTTTAGTAAATGCTCTTGCAGAATCTTTAATACTAACAAATGGTCAATTCCATTAAAAAAAAAAATGTTTCAATAGGACAAAGATTTCTAATATCCTGTAGGGACATTCTTCTTTTGATTAGTAATTCAGAAGGAAAAATACCAGCTTTCTTTGCATGGCCCAAGCTAGACATATACCAGAAATCTCTTACCTATGTATTTATTAATCAGCCTCATCCAGCTTTCTTTGTGTGAGACAACCTCAGATGATCTAGGTAACAGAGGAGCAAGATGACATCAAGGCAAGCTGAAAAGAAGTATGATATAACTTTCTTAAGAAAAAAATATTTCTAAACAATTTGATCTCTTCTGTTTTTACATACTTAATATATCATATTCTGTATTCCTCTCTTTCTCTGATTTACCTGCATACAGAGCTCAGTTACATCTTACTGTGATTTCAAGGGAGGCTTATCATGTAGCTGACAGAAATAATGAGAAGCACTGAACTTCCCATCAGTGCCATGACTATCTACCTCCACCTCAAAATATTTCGCAGGAATAAAAACATGGACTGGGCTCACATCACTTTTTTTTCATACTGGGTGTTTTGAGTCAGACCTCAGCTTACTGTCCTAGGCAAGAAAACCACATGACCACCACCAAAAACCCCCAAAGGCCTGCGGGCAAAGGTTATGGTCCTCCCCCAGCAGAAAACAAACAAACAAACAAACAAACAAACACATACAAAGGGGGGAAAAAAATCAAACAAGCTGAAAAAAAACCCCAACAAACTATTTTAACAAATTCCAGTTAATTTATTTCAATTAAAAAAATGTGCTGTAAATTGCCCCCATCTCCCTTCTCTTTCACGGGCTCAGAGTTTTGCTGTTTCCGTGGCAACATTATTGCTAAGAGTGGGCTGAGCCAGGAAATGGGAGCATTATCTGCGGCTTTGCAAGTTATTTCTCTGGAAAACCACGTTGTTGGAAGTATTACTGTCCAAAATCAGCGATCGTTAATCGTTAATGAGCTACTTCAAACTTAAATTACACCAGTAGAACGTAAAATCTAAGGTCTGAAATGCACCAACACATTTCTGTGCAGATGCTCACGTTTTGAGCCAGAAGCTGACCCTAAACAAGGAGGATGTTTTTTTCTGCTAGCTGAGAACACTGAAACAATTTAGTTGTAAGGCACATTCACCCAATGAAATATGACATGAAACATTTGGAAGAAAATGAAACTTGTAACTCCTTCTGCTCCATTAGTGGTTCCTGGGGGCCTACTGTTAAAAGTCAACACACTATAAAAGTTTGGAGAAAAGGTGGATCTGAGATAATACCCAAATCTGAACATGACACTAAGCTTTTGCAAGGCAAGATCATGCAGGGAAGTGCATTAAAATCTGCAAACTGACACTAAACCAACTCTTGCAAACACCTAAAATTTTATAGCAAATTATTTATTTCTCTAAGCCAGTCCCTGAAGTGAGAAAGAAAAGTAGCAGCAGCGTAAAAGGGATGTATTTCCTAAAAAATACACAATCCAAATACACAACCGAAAGCTCAGCCATGTCTGTTTCACTGCCTACACCTGCTACAGACACCCTTTGTAACCAAAAAGCCTTTTCCAAACTAAACAATTCTGTGTTTCCATGATTTTTCCTCTTTCTCTCTGTCCCAAGCTGGCACCCTCTGCACCAGGGACCACACTCCAGCTGGAGCATTGCCCTAGAGAGGGACTCTGCTTCCCAAAGAAATACATTCCAGTCATGTTTTCTTCTGTGTCCACAAACTGTGACATGCTCAACAAACTGTACTTCATTGTGAATGATGTAATTAGAGGCCCATAACATTCTCTCTGGTCCTATGATACATTCACACTGATGGAAATGATGCTGTTTCTGGGTATGTGTGCATTAATGTCAAAGTGTCTCCAGGTGTTTCTAACTTTAAACAATCAGAAAAACTAGAGATTTGGACAAGAAAGTAAATAGCAACCTAGTTCAGTGACAAATTATGCAAGAACTTCTTTGCTGTCTTCCTTAGATTGGAAGCCAGTCATTTACTTACTTGTTAACCCAGCATCTTTTTGGTTCTCATTCATGAAATGCATTTAATAATTCAGTAGTTTTCTTTTCTACTTTGTAATAAGGTTTCTATTTTTGTTCTGCTGATTTTTTTAAAAGTTTTTTTTGAGTACTTTATTTTTATTCTGTTCGTATCTTCTTTTCCAAGGAATGTTTTGCAAAGTTGCTTTAAAAAAAACCCTCTGTATGAGCTCTGACTTCATGAGTTTCCTATTGATTTCAACAGGAGTCAAATTTCATTGCCAATTTCCAAATCCAAATGCAAGTCTGGGAATCTTAGCTGTATCTGACTTTTTGTACAAGATTTCTTAGGTTGGTTGCCATTCACAAAGTAAGTTTATTTTTATGAAAAAGTAAATTGCTTCATTTATATTTTCCTTTATAAATCCGTGAAAAAATTATTTATTATTTATACAGTATAGATACAAATATGTGCTTTACCACCACATTTATACTCCAGCACTTACTCTTTTATTAGGATAGCTAAATTCCGGCAAGAAGAGTAGCAATGAAAGGGATAATGCAAAAGGATAAAGGATAAAGGATAAAGCAGTGCACTTTGTTGTACATTTTGGCATCAGGCAGGGCAAACTGTACCTTGTCTGAGTAGGCAGAGTCCATTAAAAACCCCAGACTTTCCCAAATCCATTAGTTCCCCCTCCCCTAATTAATAGGTTATCATCAAAATTATAAGAACCAAAAAAAACAGGGAGTATGAATTACCATCTCTCTCTTATATTGCACTTCAGACCAAAATTCTGGCTTTATGTGTAGAGATTTGGTGGCAGCAGCAGAGCTGTGCAGACTGCTCCCTCCCTCCTGTCACTGACTGCGTCACCTTTGCCATGTTGCCATAAGATGCACGCTGTGGCATCTGGCTGAAGAATAACACAGGAAAAATTGTCAGGGTTTTTTTTTGGTTTTGGGGGTCTTTTTTCAACCAGATCAGTTTTAGACTCCAATGAAGAGGAAGAGGAAAGGAATTGCACAGGCCAGTAAGTGTGCCTAACACCCACTTGCATCAGCTTCACACTGAAACACAACCCATTAACTTGCACTGCCAAACCACACAGGTTTTCTTGGCAAATAAGGAGTTACATGCAAACCCACTGTCGATTAGCTTTAGGGCTGAAATAATTCTAACCCATCTGCAGTAGTGTATAAGAGCACCTGTGGAGGGTTATCCACAGCAGCACTCACAGCACTCATTCCCAGTGAACTGAGAATGAGAACTACTTCTGTATTATTTGCACATATAGCTGGTATAAGCTTACCATGGTATCCCATTTACAGTTATGCTGCTTGTTATCTGACCAGAAGTGATGGTTCACCGCTTGCCACAGTCAAATGGAAGAGGCATCTGCAGACAAGTGTGTATGTGCAGTTGTGCAGGCATGCACACAGGCATGCATCTATTCAGGATGCATTCCTTTCTCGGTTGGGTTGCTTGTCTTCCTTGCATTTGAGTAACCCTTAGATGAAACACCAGGTACGGAAAGCAGGATTGCAAATCTGTGAAGGACGTGATAATGAGGCAGAGCTGGGTGGCAGGATTTAAATAGCTGCTTAAATGGTCACTTAACTGGACTGCAGTGTACAAAGTACACGGCTAGTAACGTGAGGAAAGGCAAGAAGTAAAATGGCTGCAGATGAGAAGACTGAGAAACTGTTTTAAGCTCCATGAACTGAAGCAGAGCAGAAGGAAGGCAAGCATCCTTAACTCTGAAAGGCACTTCAAGACTAAAAAATGTTTCGAGTGGCAGAGAAATCGAGACAAAGGTGTGTTTACTGCTCTACTGTCATACAGGTCAACCTGTATATTTCCTTGCTGTAGCAAAAGCATACAGTGAACTTTCTCTAGGTACCCTCAGGCAATGTGTTTTGT